CCGGGGAGCGCCGGGGCTCGTTGCCTTCCCGCTCCGCAGGCCCGCGTCTGAGCGCGTCAGCCCCCCACCGTATCCACACGCAAGCCAATGCGGGGCTGGGCTGGATCCACACTTCCTCTTGGCCTCGCAGTTCTGCTTGGATTGTGGGTCTGCGCCCGGGACTTTGCCTCTAGGCCTGTTCACAAAGCTCAAGAAAGTTGAATTTAATGTAAATGAACTCTCTGGGCTTAAAGGCATGGAGATTTCCCTTAGCCCTCTTTCCCCCCCTCCCTCATTCTGTCCATATATCTCAACTTAGTATTAGTTTCTTCTTTGAGAATGACTTCTCTGTCTCCCCGTGCTGTGTTTTTCTGCAGTTATTGTTTGCTGTAATGGGCAGTAAGTACACAGTTCAGCCATGTACAGGAAAGAAACATGTTTACTCAGGTATTTTGAGTGAATCTTATTTTAATGACCTGACAGTTGCAAGTACTTTAATTCTATTTTGGCCAAGATAGAAATGTTTCAAGGAGTAATATCTCAGTTTGCAAGGAGGGTATGTTAAATTCTTAATTCTAAGGGTCTCAAGCATAGATTCGCTTAGTAATCAAATCAATTGTAGTTACTTGTCTTGAATGTTACTTGTTTTCCACACACTGCGTACATACTAAACATTACCTTTAACACTACTTTATTTAGATACAATCACATTCCAAACAGTGCACCTATTTAAAGTGTACAGTTCAATGCTTTTTCATATTTTCATAGAGTTGTGCAGACCATCACTACAATTGATTTTAGAAGAATTTTATCAGAAGAAACACTTTACCCATTAGCATTTACTTGTCATTTTCCCCTTGTCCTGCTCTAGGCAAATGATCTACTCTTTGCCTGTCTAGGTTTGTTTGTTCTTCACCTATCATATAAATAGGACTATTGTGACTGACTTCTTTCACTTAGCATAATGTTTTGAAGGTTCCTCCATAAATTGTATTAGTGCTTAATTATTTTTTATGGCCAGATAATTTTACATTTTACTATCCATCAGTGATGGACATTTGGTTTTCACTTTGGTGATTATGAATAATGCTGCCATGAACATTTTTTATGCAAGTTTTTGTGTGAACATATGTTTTCATTTCTTTTGGGAATGGAATGGCTGGGTCATATGGTAACTCTATATTTAACATTTTAAGGGACTGCCAAACTTTTCCAAACTGACTGCAGCATTTTACAATCCCACCAGCAATGTCTCAGGGTTCCAGTTTTTCACATGGTTATCCACACTTGTTATCTTTTTAGTTATAATGGGGAGAGGTGAAGTAGCATCTCATTGTGGTTTTGGTTTGCATTTCTCTATGGCTAATGACGGTTAGCATCTTTTCATGTGCTAATTTCCATTTTTGTATGTTCTTTGGAGAATTGCCTGTTTACATCCTAATCAAGTTGTCTCTTTGTTTTTTGGTTGTATAAGTTCTTTTTATATTCTGGATACACATTTTTTTTAATCAGATATATTTTTAAATTTTGTTTTAGTTGTAGATTGACACAATACTTTTATTTAATCATTTTATGTGGTGTTGAGGATCAATCCAGCGCCCCACACCTGTGAGGCAAGCGCTCTGCCACTGAGCCAAAACCCCAGCCCCAGATATATGTTTTGAAAGTATTTTTCTCATTCTGTGGACTATCTTGATAAACAGCCTTTGCAGCACATAATTTTAATTTTGATGAAATCTTGGTAAGTTCTGATTTATTTACTTTTCTATCACCTGTGCTTTTGTTGTTGTATCTAAGAAGCCTTTGCTTAATTCAAAATTTACTCCTGGGTTTTCTTTGTAAACGTTTTATAGTTTTAGGTCATTTTAGGTATGTGATTCATTGGAAGTTAAATTTTGTGTGTGGTGCAAGGAATGGGTACAACTTAAGTTTTTTGCATGTAGATACCCAATTCCAGCACCATTTATTGAAAAGTCTCTCTCTCTTTTTTTCTCTATTAAATTGCACTCTTGTGAAACATCGTGTAGTATAGATGTACATGTTTACTTTTGTATTTTTAATTTTATTTCGTTGTTTATCCTTATACCAGCCACTATCACAGTGTTTTGACTACTGTAACTTAGTATAATAAGTTTGGGGTTAGGAAATGAAAGTATTCTGGTTTTTTTCCTTCGTTTTTTTTGAAGATTATTTTGTCTATTTTTTCTTAATTTTTTTTTTAAAGAGAGAGTGAGAGAGGAGAGAGAGAGAGAGAGAGAGA